ACATACAGAATAGCTAAGTTTTCATGAAAAAGAGAGCATCAGAGAAAACACCTACTTAAAAATGTTTTTGCTAGCAAGGGTGTGATTACAGGAAACACTCCACACATGGGCAATGCTTTAATTTACAAAACCAGCAGTGTGTTAAAGAGTTTTTGTGTGTATTAAAGAAAATAAAATAAAATACAAACAAAAAACCCCACCCCCAAAAAAGCCACAAACAAACAAACACAAACAACCCACCCACCCACCCTCCCCCCCCAACCCACCAGCAAACCACAGTGACTTACTAACATGGCAGTGCATTGTTTTGCTATTTTCAGAAGTTGTGCTAGAGAAGGGAGTTCAGACCACTGATCGCAGAGCTGCTTTAAGGGGTTAACAGCATCTGTTCCTGGCAGGGTAGTCCCAGGAGAAGATTAAGGGCTAGAAGTCAGGGCTTTCACAATTTATTTCCACCCCTGCACCTAAATCAAATACCTAAATTTTCCAAAAACTTCAGTTTAATTATCCCTAAACTTGGTCTAGAACACATGATGTTCCATCCCACTTGAAGGCAGAAGTGGGAATTCTTTTTAAAGAGCATACCCTCAAAGTTCATAAGAGCTTTAATCCTCTCTAGAACTGTTAATCTGTCTTGCTATTGAGAGTGAAATAATTAATAGCAAAAAATCCAAATACTTAGGAAAAAAAAAACCAAATCAAATAAGCCCAGACCTTTTCTTATGAGCATCCTATATAGAGATATGTATATTTATGCCTTTATTTTGCAGCTCTCCCTCCTCTGCTAAACAATGCTGAGGTACCAATGCCCAGTTTCTGCCCACTACCACTAGACCTGACCCTCCAGCAGCAAGTCTGCAGGGATGAAGGCAAAGTCCCCCCACCTGCTGACAAGAGGCGCTGTGTCTGTACATTTTGCAGGGTGGTGACAGGCATGAGACCGCTCATAGACATGGATTTGTCACAATATTATAGAGTGTGGCATCAGATCTGTATGGTTGTTTTAGGAGAACTTGTTTGCACAGCTGTATGTTGTGAGTTGCATCCTCCTCATTTTGCCTAGGCTCTTCTCCATGCAGCATTTCATTCTGACTGCAAAGCATTCTGCCAAACCCAGGGTGCCCACGTGATGCGAGCTGGGATATAATTCATTTATGATCTGAATGTAACTTTCTTTGTGGAAACCGTCCAAACGCTAAGAGTGGTGCTAAGAAGAAGCAGTAGACAAAACCTGCCTCCAACAAATTAACAACCCCCTTCCCAGTATGCATACAAGTTCACACCAGTCAGACTGTATAGATTAACAACCAAGTGAAGGGACCTACTTAGAAATGGACACACATCATAGCACAATCTGGCACGAGCATTTGATGAGTAGTGAGCTTTCAGAGTAGTGTGGAACCGTGTTTTTTGCCTCCTCCTGCTGCTCCTGTCTCTGCCCATTGGCAGTTTTGACATGCATCATAATTTTGCAGTCTGCTCGGGATGTTGGAATCCAGTCAGGGAGCATACAGGGATCCTAACTCAGTCCTTGGGATTTGCGCTGCAGTGAGCGCACACAGGAACTTGGAGGCTTGGCACCGCTGCCAAGACGCTGCTTATGCACCAAAGACAGGCTCAGCCCCGAGGGAGAGAAGAGATACAAATGAGCCGCTGGAGACCTCCTCCAGCTGTGCCGCACATTTGTGGGGACAGAACCACATCTCAATGTGAATCGTGGCTTCCTTTGTGCACAGGTTGCTTTAGGCAATAACACATCCAGCCGGCTTGGGAGCCCCAGGGATAGCAGAGTCTCACTTGGAGAGAGGGAGTGAACATTGAGCACATTAACATAAAACCCTGCTGATAGCTTTGCTCAGGACAGCCATTTACTGATGGGAAGAGGAAACACAGCTAGTTGGACCGGAAACCACACCCTTGCCCCTTCTCCATCAAAGTACACCTGAATGGCAAGCACAAAGAACTACAAAAGAGCAAGAGCTATTGCTTACATGTTGACAACATATTACCCCCTGCAGCCAAGATACTGAAGAAAAATCCACACAATAGGGGAAAGGAATCCACCTCTCCAAAATTACATGTCAGGCTCCTTTGGAAACCCTGGGCAGCCCTCACAAACAGGCTGAGAGCTGTCGCCCCTGCCCACCCCTCTCGTACTGCTCCAGTGCCTTACAAGACTTTGGCCATGAGATGGTAACCCAGCTCAAGGAGAGGACATGGCAGCAGTCACAGTCCCTGCCTCTGCCAGAAAGGACATCCCCAATGTCCTCAGTGGGGTCAGCATGTCAGGGAGCTGTGGATGCATCTTAACAATAACAATGCTCTGCCACATTACCTTCTGCTCTGGGAAGCTCCCACTTGCCCTCCATAGAAAGAAGAATGCAAGGTCTGAGAGAGACTTACAGCCTTTGAAAGTAAATAAATCCTTGGAAATGTAATAGCGTCCAATGTGACTATATTCTCTGATAAAACATTAAATGAAACACGCCATTCCCAGTACAAATAATTGCCTTTGTTTTCATCATTTTGCCTAGTGCATCGCAGGAGGCTGTAGAACAGTGTGAGTTTTTCTGATCTATAATCAGACAGTTCATAAAAATCCTAATGGAAATGAAGATTTTGCTATTTGGAGTGGTCAAATTTCCATTTTCAAACACATCACATTTTAAAACCCAGGTTGGCATTTTGGTTTGCTGAGAGTTTTAGGATAATAGCAAATTACACAGAAAATCTACCAATTCTTTGTCAAGCGAACTATGCAAAAAGGAACCATTAGTTCATAGTTCATCTGTGAGATGGGAAGACATCCTGAATAATAATTTTTAGAGACTATGAAGGGCATTTATTCGCAAATAATGCTCACATCTACAGAATTAAGACTGCTCCTGCTGTCTATAAAACTACTGTGCTCAGATTTCACTAAAGGTATGTTTAAATAGATTTCTTTTCCTCCCCAGAAAGATAGGGGAATCTAACCATACTGTGTAAGACTGACTTACTTCATACAACATCCATCCTACACAAGATTGGCTTATGCTATACAGTTTCACAGACAGACAACACCAAGAGGGCTGTGAACACATTTGGCTCAGCATCCCTTCATGGTTCCAGGGGTGAGCACCCAGAGGCCCCTCAGATCGCAGCATTAGTGACCCCAGCCTACCGGAGGAAGAAGAGCATCCTCCATCCACTCATCCTGCTAACATCACACACGAGCTTTTCAGAACTGTTCTCACAGCTTTTGCAGTTTTCCTCTCGTATTTACTTACTGTTCTGTGTTTTGCTAGGACTGTGTATTTCCTTATGCTGAGATAAAGGAAAAAAAAACAAACCGAAACCAAGCACAAACCAAACAAACACACAAAGACAGCAGAAAGTGTTCTTTTATTCTGTAAAAAAAGTTAGTCCCTGTAGCATCAATGAGACTCCCAAACCAGGGCTTTGGGCCCTGTTATTTAGAAAATTAAGACCCTACCTGGAGCTGACTATGAAGAAAAGGTATAAAAGACTGATTAACTAAATTAATCTACTTTTCTTCCCTCCATCCACCTCCCAACAGTGCCCTGAGGCATACCCCATACAGAAAATTGTCTGTGACTCACGCTTTGAAGAGAGCATGGAAAAGGAATCCCACTGGGAATTTGCTGCATTTGTTACAGCACTGGGACATATTCATCTGTAAATATATTTATTTTGGCTTTTGGGACCTTGAGTGATGTTAAATGTGATGCTTATAATAAGCCTGGGCTAAGTGTATTCCTGTAACAGAGACTGGAAGTGCTAGTAATACTTTCTTGTGAGTTTGTTGTAAAATACAAGAATGCATGCATTAGCTTCACTTCACAGTCCAGTGACATATTAGGGAGCACACTAGGAATTAGTGAGGTTTTTCTGTTTGTTTGCTTTTAATTCTGAAGAAAACTCATTATTAACAGTGATAATTTCACTGCAGATCTTATCTATCACAGCAGATTTCAGATAGACACACCAAAAAGAAATTACCTTCTGCCCCCTCTCCCCTTAGACTGGGCAGTTCACAATATTCCTTAAAGGTGAAAAATTAGACAGCAACGCTTCCCATGTTACTGGGTTTGTGGTGCAGGTGAGGTTCCAACTCCTAATTGTGAAGACAAGATCTTCCAGATTTTTAACCAAAGGTACAGAATCTAATTACAGGGACACTTCCCTCCACAGTCTGGTCCATGTGGAAAAAGACCATTGCCTGGCTCTGGAAGCAAGTATTTTATTCTACCCTAATAAACAAGCATCCTTCCTGAGTTTTACAGCCAGATTTTGGAAGGCAAAAAGCATTTCCCTGGACAGTATGACCTTTTCCTTAACTTCAACAACAATCAAGATAGAAAAACTCCCAGCCACCAACAGACTTGGGGACTTTACTCCAAGAAGACAACCTGAGAGATCCCAAAGAAGCATTCAATAAACATAATTATAAAACTATCCAGAAATGAATTGTATTAATTACATTAAAAAGAAACATCCGTTCAGTTTAGAGCTAACATAGTGCAGAAAACAGAACACGCAAGGTTTTTTAAAGCCCATTTTGCCACTAAAAGTTTCAGAAAATCTCAGGATCCACTAAAATAGTTCCAGAGTTCCTCACCCCTGTCCCAAATTTAGTGTTTTAGTAACCAACAGTAATGATTCTTAAAAGATCAAGAAGTAGACCACATCACAGTGTTTCCCTGGAGACAGCTCACACCCCCATCATCTCTGTCTGTTCAGTGGTCTTTGGCAGTGGTACAAGGAACAGACAGTGAAACCAAACAGAAACAAAAGTCACCTGATTTACACCCCCTCAGACCCCAGTAAAAAGCAAGCTACCAGCAGCCTCAATGATTCACAAAAAATACATCTTAAGACAAAAATTATACTTTAAATATGTTTCTTGAGTATTGCTTTTGAAGAAGCTACAAATAGCTTAAAAACATTCTGAAGCTAAATAACAGCTTCTTTTCCACTTCCACTCACCAAGAGCTTACCTAACTACTCTTGTCCCCAGAACTCCACTGGAGCACATTGTTTTGCATTCCCAAGATCTGCTTTGCTCCAACCCCACCAGTTAATGAAGGAAACTGTCCAGGACGCTCCTTTCCCAGGCACACTACTCCTCCCACCCAAGTGGCCATACCACGACAACAAGGAAGATGAATGCCATTACCACCATCTGTGGCAATACACCCTTAACTTTGGAAGGTTTCAGCTGAAGCACTGGCAGCTGCCTCAAAGAGTAATGTGACTGGGTTAACTGCAAATAAGCCTGGTAGGAATGAGTGTCTGGAAAAATAAGAGGATGTAAAAGCCCTTAAAAGCCTCCCAAACTGTGACCCACTTCAGGAATCACAAAGAAATCAATACCGCTTTGTGCACAAAAGCCTAGTGCTCAGCTGTTGATCAGTGGATTAAAAAAAATTCCAATCTTGCACCTCCTGAAATTTTTTGAACCAACATGACTTTGCACACTTTAAATAATAAAAATAAGTGTTCAAAGTTCTGATCTTTACTTTTTGTTTTCAATGACCAATCCCTAAAAAGTGCAAGTTTCAGAACAATATTGTTATTTCAATCAAAAGGAGGGATGTGCCCTCTCTAAACCTAGGAACACTGACTGTTGCACCAGCCTGTTGCTTGAGAGACAACTTGCACCACAGACTTCAGGTCCTACTTTTTCTTCATGGGCTATATTTCTTCCGTAATTCTTCTTGTTTGCTAGAAGAAATACCATGCTATAGGAAGGTATGCCCTATGGTTCTACGTACCCATGATGGGACACAGCGAGGACCACAGTAAGGAAATGTCCCCAAGCCACAGGCTCAGACCACTACTGGTCTATATCAGCAGCCCAGGCTGCGCCCCTCGCATAAAACCACCACTCTCCAGCTGAGGTTCATGCTTTTACCATGTTCATGTGAGTGCCCGCAAACTACGTCATTTTTCTAGTAAAGACAGAAATATTCCTTGGAAGTTGAACTTCTTTCAGGTGAAATTCACTGGTATTTTCCAGCCAGATCCCAGGACAGTTAATTTATCCTGTCTGTGAGTTTTCCTCAGGAACCAGGCACTGGATTTCCCTTCCCGGACAGCAATTGGCTCAGATTACTTAATGCCTCATTGTAAAAATCCAGTGTCTCACTTTGCCAGCAGAGCCTTCTCATTTATTCCTTGTATTAAAGATTCAGCTGCCATGCATTAAATGAACCCGTTTCACTGGTAGGTGCTTGCCAGTTTTTAGGCTTTAAATGGTACCATTACTATCATTTATAAGGATAACATCACAATTAAGAATGTATGAATAATTTAGAAATGAGCAAGTAGCATTTACTTTCACACTCTACTTGCTGAAGAGGCTTCAAAATGCAGGGTCTTTATTTTGTTGCAAAACACTAGCTTGTCTGGGTAAAAGGGATGAAAAGTTACTAATTTCAGGCTTTAGTTCAAACCCTTTAATCTTGCAAATAAGTGCCTTCAGTGAGTACCTTGTTATCTCCTAAAGCCTCCGCAGGGCTGTTCACAGTCTTTGTCTCATTCCAAGATCCGTAACTTATCCTAGGTGAGACAAAGGGGGTGCCACCTGAGAAAATCAGGACTTAACGGAGCTTTTCTTCTTAAATCCTAACTTGTGCTGTTGGCAAATATTACGGAACGCGCTCATTTCGTTGCAATAAATAATGGTATATAATTAAAATTCCATTCCGTTGTTGCGAACAGTGTGATAAACTGTTTGTGAATTGGTAATTCTATTTATTAAAAACAGGGGCATTAATTTTGACATGTTGAATTATAACGCACACAAACAGATCTTGTGTTTTAATTAAATGCTTGTATCTGATGAGATTTTTTTTATATTAAGATTTAATACCAGATTCTGCAATTCATGCGTTATGTGGTGGGGTACGACTGCAGCCGAGTGCCCAGGGAGTTGTGAGCACAACCATGCTTGGTATCTGGGGGGCTCTGAGCAGAGCCCCTCATGCCTCCCTGACAGGCATTCCTCCTCCAAGGGCAGACAGACTGGGCTGACCTCTTTTTGCCAGTGTCTTTACCTGTTTCTCCTTCTTTTTGCATGCTTTAATGGTGTTTCCAGGCTGTTACTACATTCTTTATTTTCTAATGCTGAAGCAGAGCTGAATATTTGAAAAAAAAAATAACAACCATACTGCTTTGAGGTTTCTTTCACATTAAGCTACATTTAATATTCATTTCACATTTTTTTTTCTATTAATTAAAAGTAAACCGTGTATTGTATGGTACATTATCCCTCTAACAGCCCCATGTGGAGATCATGAAGTGGAAGACTAATGGTGTAGACTTTAGCATTTAGTTTTAACCAGAATAATTTACATATCTGTGAGAAGAGTCCAAGGCATGTGTAAATAAGCAGAACTCTGAGATATCAAGACCCTTGCTTAGTTTACTATGGACTGGAGAGCCATGGGCTGTGTATTTATTCCATCAGTCAGCTAATTTAATGAGACTTTATACAGCATCTATTTCTGCAGAAGACACAAAACTTATTATTAAGGAGAGGCATGTGGCAGTAAGAAAAATGTGTTTGTTTGCTTTTTTATTCTATTACCCCCAAGTATCAAAGGTGATTCTATTCACTGTTCATTAAAGTTTACCTTTATAATTTATCAAAGGAGACCGATATCAACAGCTTTATGCTGAGATTTCAAAATTCGAGACTGATTAAAATTTAATGTAAAAGGCCACAGATTTGGGGTGGGTTTTCAAGAAAAATGGCTTCCCAACTTGCAAGTATAGATTTCATTAACGTGCATCTTTATTAGAAGGCACTATAAAACACATTAGAGGCACAGCCTGAGCACTGAAATGCCATTTTCACTTCAAAAATCTGCATGGGTCTTTAAGCATAAGTTTCAAGAAAAAGAAAGTTCTGCTGGAAGGCTGGAGAGTGGCAGTGCCTGAGCTCTGCCTTGGGCACAGAGTTGCGCCTGTCACACAACACTGACCACACTCCACTGGACAGGTGAAATAATCAGCCGCTCTGAAGCCGGCACATGCTCCCATCAGGAAACACCAGAAATGGTACTGCAAAGAATAGATATTAATAATCTCTGTGTGTGTTATGGTTGATCTGATCATATTTTGGGGAAAAGGAACACCCCCCCCCCCCCCCCAAAAAAAGAAAAAGGAAAACATCCGCTCAAAGATTCAAATTCACAGATTTGGCTAAATCTGATGGTTTCCACCGTGGAAAAAGAAGAAGAAACATTAAAAGTGTTTTATATGAATATTTCAAAGCTAAACAGAGCATGTGTTTTTGTCTTGTGTTTTCCTCTCTAATTTGCTTACTTGTTTAGTATTTAAAATCTTAAGAAAAAGGTAGAAGAAGGGTTTCCATTCAAATGATGTAACTGAAATTACTTTGTTTCTCTTTTAAATTAAGCCATGAATTAAGAAATTAATCACAGACATCACTCTCCTATTTGTTTCACCAACTGGAATCCTACCAGTATCCTTACCATGCAAACTATCCTTCAGATTTCATGAGGAAGAACTATAACAAGCCCTACTCCAGATTATTTAGAAAAGGGGGTGGGTTTTCTTCCTTATGTGTTAAGACCAACAGAATATGCACAACTACAAACAGGGAGTAGAACAACAAAAATACATTTTCCAAATTTATTTGCTTTAGCATTTTTTCTTTTTACAGGTATAATATTTTCTGATATTAAATAAAATCAAGTTTAAAAACAGGGGAAATTGAGAGGAAAAGATTTCCTTTCAGTAACTGAAAAATCCTATCATTTGAAATGTGGTTGATTTTTCTAAATACACGTTTTGAAAAATCTGCAGTTGTACAAACCTCAAAGAACATAAAAGTGATCTGTGCTTTCTAAGAAAACCAGAGAATGAGCGAAAAATCCATCAGCAGTCAAGTGATCAATTCCCTTTCCAAGTTGTGCTGGTCACTGCACTGCCTACTCTCTCGTTGTCTCAGCTGAGCATGGTGCAAGAGCCTAAGAAGGCTCTGTTATGCAGCAAACACCTAATACTCTGGAATTCTGTACGGCTCAGGATTTTGACTGGTTTCTGTTCTACCTCGCACTAAAATGCCGAAGCTGCCTGCTTTTCATGGCAAAAGTGGTAGGAGACCTAGCTGCAGCCCACTCCTCTCCCAGAGATTCCACAGAGGGAACACTAAGTGCTGGAGGTACAGAGGGAACCAGCAAAGACAAACCTGCTGGGCTAGGCTGCCCTTCACAGCATCCCTGCACTTGGTCCCCTGGCAGCAGGAGCTACAGGTGGGGAGACCTCCAATTCCAGATCCATGGTAGCTGCTCCTGAGAATGGGCAGAGCTCATCACACAGAGCCACTGGGGCACTCTGGGAACTGTGTGAGCTGCTCCCAGCAGCCAGCCCCAGTGACCATGTTTTTTACTCTACCAAAAATTTGCCATTAATCATGAAGACACATCTAGTGAGATGTGCCTCTTAAATACTGCAAGTCTGTCGGTAAGATGATTTTGCATAGCAATGCCTTCAACAAACTACTTGCACAGATTTGTCAGAAAGTGCTTTTTCTAAAGGTTTGAGCAGCATTATATAGTTATTATCATTTTGCTCTTGTGCAAAAGAAAAGGGAACAGAGGTTCCAAGTCTGTCTCTGCTATATGATTAGTCCTGTGAATCTCATTAGAATAATAAGAATATGGCCTACTTATGGCTTCAATTAAATATTTCCTAAGTGAGAAATAATTAAGGGTTTCAAGCATCTGGTCTATGTCTAAACTAAAAAGGCAAATCCTTGTCTCATTGTTGACACAAGAAGTCTATTGGTGAGAACAGGACCATGCCACTCATATGGCAAACGTGGTCCAGCCTGGTCTCCTGAGCTAGAAGGCAGTGCTCTGGGATCCCATCAGCTCTTCCATCACTTGTATTCCTTGATTTAATCATAAAACATATATTTTCATAGGTACTATAATGATGGATTTTAAAACTACTAAATCAGGTTCTAAAAAATACATGCAGAGAAAAGTATGTGTATCAAAATGTTTACAACAGCTTTATTAATGTTAGACTTGATTGATTTGCAGCACCATACACAAGAGTAAATTTCTGGCAAACTAAA